ATCTATAGCCCTAATTCAGCATGGAGCTTCAAGTCAAGCCTTTGCATGTAGTTAATCTGGAAGCATCTTTACATTCCGTCATCTAGGGTCATCTCTCAGTCTTCTTCTGATGCTCAGTTTTCCTTCAAAATCTTTTCTTCCTCAGTTCTACTTTGTATTACTTATGCATACTTTGCTCTATGCTTACCAGACTATACTGTGACTACTTAAAAGATCATTCTCTCTCTACTGAATGACAAACTCCTTCAGAATAAGGTTTTAACTTACTCTTTTTTTTTTTTTTTAAGTTTATTGGTTTATTCCATAATTGAGAGGAAGAGAGAAGGAGCACTCAACAAGGTCTTCGTGCTGCACCCCTACCCCAGCCTCGGCAAGCCCTGGCACATGTGTGCCTGGTGTTCTCAGGGAGGTCTCTGCGTGCAAACCTGGAAATTCCCTTCGTGAGTCAGACTCCAGAGCACTGTGTTTTCCACTGTGCCACTGTGCATCCTGATTTGTACTCACCAGGGCCAACCTTGTCATTCAGAACATTCTGTCAAAGGAATGAAAACACTAGGAAAAATTAGTTATTAGTTTAGAAGTAATAAGAAGATAACTTGCAAAAGAAGGAATTCTTTATAGATGCAGAGATTTTTGTAAGGTTTATTGGAAGATTTGACATTTTTATCCGAATCATGAAGGATGAGTAGAATTTCAGAGATGAAACTTCATAAGGTAGAACATTCCAGATGGAGGGAAGACATATTATCTAAAAGTGCAAAAGTGGTAAAAAACAGAATCTTTCATTTTTATTTTTCTCCTCCTCTTCCTCTGGAAGTAAGCTCTTTAGTGTGGTAGTGTAGAGAGATAACAGATAGTGTCATTTATACATGTGTTCCACCTACAGATACCTGTTAACGATACCTATCTTATAATAGAAACCTAGAAGGTAGCATGGGTCATAGAAAACCTCTTAAATATTAGACCAAGTTGTTTTAGGGTGAGAGAAGAAACTGAGGAAATACATAGGAAACTGTCTTCATTGAAGAATTGACTAGAACTGGAAAGAAAAAGAAAAAGGAAAGGAAAAAAATTAAAAAAAGGATGTGGCAAAATTTGCTTCAGATCTCTCATTTCCATTCTTTGTACCCATAGTTTTGGGTGGGATGTCTTTTTGTCCTAATAGTTCCTCTCCTGCCATTATATAAGGGGGGATCTTCACAAAGTTTATTTAAAAATATATATTATGAAAACATTGCATAGGGACCAGCTGTTGGCTATGTTGCTGAAGTCCCATGTAGTCAACCGTGGTTTGAGTCCCGGACCAACATTCTGTCAAAGGAATGAAAACACTAGGAAAAATTAGTTATTAGTTTAGAAGTAATAAGAAGATAACTTGCAAAAGAAGGAATTCTTTATAGATGCAGAGATTTTTGTAAGGTTTATTGGAAGATTTGACATTTTTATCCGAATCATGAAGGATGAGTAGAATTTCAGAGATGAAACTTCATAAGGTAGAACATTCCAGATGGAGGGAAGACATATTATCTAAAAGTGCAAAAGTGGTAAAAAACAGAATCTTTCATTTTTATTTTTCTCCTCCTCTTCCTCTGGAAGTAAGCTCTTTAGTGTGGTAGTGTAGAGAGATAACAGATAGTGTCATTTATACATGTGTTCCACCTACAGATACCTGTTAACGATACCTATCTTATAATAGAAACCTAGAAGGTAGCATGGGTCATAGAAAACCTCTTAAATATTAGACCAAGTTGTTTTAGGGTGAGAGAAGAAACTGAGGAAATACATAGGAAACTGTCTTCATTGAAGAATTGACTAGAACTGGAAAGAAAAAGAAAAAGGAAAGGAAAAAAATTAAAAAAAGGATGTGGCAAAATTTGCTTCAGATCTCTCATTTCCATTCTTTGTACCCATAGTTTTGGGTGGGATGTCTTTTTGTCCTAATAGTTCCTCTCCTGCCATTATATAAGGGGGGATCTTCACAAAGTTTATTTAAAAATATATATTATGAAAACATTGCATAGGGACCAGCTGTTGGCTATGTTGCTGAAGTCCCATGTAGTCAACCGTGGTTTGAGTCCCGGACCTAATGGCTTAAACTCACACTGCACGCATGTGCGTGCGTGCCCAAGATCCTGAGAGGAGAATGGAGGAGAAGGGATTGCAGTGTGGCCATCCCCCCTGGTGGGTGATTTCTCGCTTTCTGTCTCTGTCTTTTTTGGCCAGTGCATGCACCCTATAGCAAAAACCTCTCCAAAAAAAAAAAAAAAAAGAAAAAGAAAAGAAAGAAAACATAGATTTTAAAAAAATGTACAAATAGACTCATTTATTTTGCCCCCAATTCTGTTTTTCATGAACTCTCTGAAGTCCTCCCATATTACTGCTCTCTGAGAACGTCTTGCAGAAGTCACTGATAACCTTGGTAAGGATTTTACTCACACTGTCTCTTTAGGTCAGCTCTTAACTTTGTGGAAGGCAGTATTTGCTGAAAACAGTCAGCAGGTTAGAGTGCCATGGATTTGGGTGTGTCTCCTTCCTGAAGTCCTTTAAATCCCAGGCTTTAGGTGGCCTCTTTTCTAGGGTAAACCTTGATTGTTACCTTGGGGCCGCAAATAAAAAGAAAGCTAAGAAAAAAAGCATGTGATCCTGCCTTTTAAAAGGTGCTGGAAGAGTAGGCAGATGTGTTTTGAAAATAGCATCCACATACTCAGTTTCAAGTTAAGTTGGTTATGATCACATCAAGGCATATTCACTTCTGAAATATTGGGTGGTAAAACCAGCAATGTTTCCATTGGAAGCTTGTGAATGGCCCATCAACACAGTTGCTAGTTAAATAGGTGTGGAAAGTAATCTCTCTGAAGAGCCTGTGCCATGCTGAGCCTGACAATATTGTAAATGACAGCTGCTGCAGGTGAATCAGCCACACACATAACCCTTCTTGATTTTATTTAACCAAGAATTAAAAAAAAAATTAATCTGGAGTAAGAATTATTTGTGTGTTCATTCAGTTGTTTGACATTTATTTAGTGAAACTATTGTATGTGCAAAACACAGCCTAGTGTTCCTCAGGACTCTGCCATCTGGACTGCTAGACAGAGGTCTCTAAAGCTTCTCTGGGCAGGTCTTTTGTCTTCACTCTTTTTATGTGGACTGCATCTGGGACTGCTTTATTAAAGGATGTGGAGGAAACAATATTCGTGGACTTTGAGTCCAACCATTAAGAAGGCTTGAAAGAGTCTATTTCTGCCTTCTGAGAACTGATTTTTGGGACCCCTGAGTTGCTGTAAGAAGCCCAACTACTTTGTTGGCCCTAGCCTAGTGGTTAAGGGATCCAGATCCCACGTGGCAGACTGCATTTGAAATCCTGGCCCCTGAGGCTTGAAACAATGCATTGGTGTGTTAGTGTGCGTAATTCCAACCAGATGGAGAGATGGTGGAGAGAGGGAGCAGTATGACCGCACCCTATTGGGGACTGCTTTCTCTCTCATGTTCTCTCTCTCTTTTTGGTGAGTGTATATGCCCTATGACAATTAGAAGAAAGAGGAGGAGGAAGAAAAAGGAGCAGTAGAAAGACTGACCATCCTGCTGGAGAGAAATCATGGGGAGGAGAGGCCTGGAGACTACATGAAGAGGGCAAGAGGCCAGTCATTCCAGTTTCTCAATGTAACTCCAGAATTAGTCACATGAGACATCCAAGCAAGATCCAGAGGAGAACTTCCCAGTTGAGCTCAACCTACAGAATATGACAGATAATAATACGGCTGCTGTCTTAACCTGCTAAACTTTAGGGTGTTGTAATTATGTAACAATAGAAAGGCAGAAAAATTCCTCTACCTGGAACTGACTGTCTCCTTTGTTTTTGGCCCTTTGGTGGTTTTGCTGGCCTAGCTTGCTGCATGGGCCCATTTCATAACCACTTTCCATGGGAGGTGGTTTTCTCTAGCAGGTCCTGAGTCTCACCAGGAGAAGCTAACCTATCTCCTCAGAAACAACAACATTGTTTTAGATTTTTTTTCCTCCTCAAGGAAGAGAGACTTTCCATTCTCTAAGGATCTGTAGGCGTATGCTGGCATTTAACAAGAATTCTCTCTGCATTGAATCCTCACAACATCGATAAAAAGCCAGCCTTTATTTATCTCCAGGTCATGGGAAAACTGAAAAAAAGGTTAACCAATTTAGCCAAGATCCCTGAGTTAGTAGGCAATGGAATGACTTTTGAGTCTTGGTTCTTCAAATTTCAAATCCAGGGTGTATTTCATTAGACAGAACTTTGCTATCTTGAAACTGGAGCCTTCCCTCAGCATTGTTCCCTCTTTCAACATGGCTGTCAGGAATGGATCCAGCATGGAACCCAGGGGTGTGTGACAGGGGCACATAGCCCCAATCTTTCCAGGAGCTAAACTTAACCCTCATAATAGAGCCCCCAAAGGTTCTTCCCATTCCCAAAGAGAATAGTCTGCTTTCCCCCTTGGCCATCTTATTGAACCTAATAATCTTGACAATAGGAAGATCCCTTCCAGGGTCAGCAGTTCAAAGTTCTTGCTGATAATGAAGTGTGATGTCCCAGTAGGACACATTGCAAGTAAGAGCTCTTGTGCTGAAGTGTTGGAGCACACAACCCAGCCAGTGTTATCTACTATCTGTAAAAAGACCCAAATGGAGAAACATATTTCTAAGTTAGTGCTTCCTCAACAGAAATTATTCTGAAGTTGTAGGATTATTAGAATAGGGTGGAGACAAGAGAGAGGGCAATCAATATTTCATTATAATATCTCCTGAGGTTTTCGAAGCAATGGATATGGGAGAAGGAAAGCTTTTAAGGAGAAAAATGGTGCATATAAATGGCTCAGTAAAATAAGTGTTTTCACATTTTACTTAGAGAAAAACAGAGTGTACATTTTAGTAGAGAAAAGTGGCTATTTAAATAATTTATCAAACTTCTTTCCTTAGGGAAAATGCAGAGTAGAAACATCTCCATAACTCTCCAGAAAGGGATACATTTTTTGTTTCTATAAGTAGAAAAGACCTAAAATAAGAAAGGCAGAAAAAGACAATCATGAAAACATTGAGCCGGGAATCAGAAGACCTGAGTTTGTTTCAGCTTTGCCACCTGCTACTTGTACAGTGATCGCGTGGACTTCTTCCCTGTGCCTGGAGGCCTTCATTTTCCCACCTGTACAAATGAAAAAAGACCTGCTTAGGCTTTCGATGTCCTGCCAGTCCCACAGTCCTACTGCTTCCTTCTCCTGACTGCCGTAGAGGCTCTTGTGATATTCCCTTGCAACTCCAGGGGTCTCAAACTAGAACTTGGAAATCTCAGAACCTTACTTTCAGATTGCACGATCAAATGGTTCATGACTTAGAAAAAAATAGACTATTTCTATTAAAATACTTATAGGAGCTAGGATCCCACATGGCCAACCATGAGGTTTGAATCCCAGCCATGGAGACTTGAAAAGCATGCTGGGTACATGTGTATGCATGCCCCAAACCTTGACGGGATAGAGAAGTTGAAAAGGGGTTGCAGTAAGTATAGTCTGTAAGACTATACTCTATAGGGTAGTGCTTTCTGTCTCTTTCTTTCTCGCTCTTTGGTGAGCACACAGTACCTTCTGGCAATTAAAAATGAAGTCTATAAATTATCTACAGAATTGTCATGGTAAATGCATGATGGTCATTTACAGTGGTCCATTCACCAGGTGTTTAAAACACTAGTTTGCCTTCCTAGTGGTCTGCAGACTTCATCACTCAGAAGCTTGGACTTCTCGTATCTGTCCTAAGGCACTACCAGGTCCAGAGAGAAGCTGTAACAACTGCAGTACATACCTTGTCAGTGCGCCCTGTTTTGTTGGGCTATTATTAACACAAAATGTGAGTCAAAAGAAATGGTAAGTGAGCTCTGCAGTGTTTTTCTTAACAGCTAATTGGTTTATTGTGCTGCGGATGGGCTTCTAGTTCTATACTATAGAACCATCTCCCACAACACAGAGGAAGGTTTAAGTGTGGGAGTGTAGGAGGGAGAATGACTAAGGGAAAATTAAATTGCTGTGAGAAACAAAAGAAAACTCCTCACACATTTTTAAGCAGTAAATTATCAAATTCGAAAAAGATGTAATAATACACATAATAATTTGATATTTAGTATATAATGAGCATTGATAGTATTAATATCAAACAGGGCACTGTGGCTGAATTAAAGCAAGGCTTCTAATATTTTTGAGAGGCAGAGTTATGCTACACCCCCTTTTCTGCTTGTGCTAAAGAGCCTCCTAGAAGCTCTGAACCAGCGGACTGCTGAGATTTAGAATTAGGAGCTAATTCATGTAATTCACACTATGGTGTTAATGGCTTCACTTATTCCAGTGTTTTGTTCCTGGTTGTTGACTGGTGAGAGAAAGCTGAGTTTCTTGGCTTTCATATTTCTCTTTTACTTTTAACATTTAACCTCTTACCACAGTAATACATATACATAGTTTAAAAGGTCAAATGCAATACGTCTTTTAACAACAAGAATAACAAAACAGCAGTTCACTGCTCCCCTGCTCTGTGCTGCTGGATTCTGCTACTCAGAATGAACTTTGTGAGCTGTTTCTGCTGGTATTTTACTCCTGATTTCTAAATAACGCTTACTATGCCATTTTTTGATTTATCAATTTATATCTTGTGCCTTGACATGCTACTATAGAATTAAGGATTTAGTGCCCTCATATGTGCCCTCATTTAGTGCCTTCCTATGCTTATGTTCATCTCTTCCCTCTCTCAACACAGCACTGCTCTAGTTTGGGTTTAATCAATTGTAGGATTTATATTCTTATGGTTTATATTATTATGGTGTTCACAGATGAGCTGCATATTGTTCTAAATTTCTTATTTTAGTCAAGCTTTTTGACTACCTTTTAGTTAACAATTACTGTTAGGCTGGAGGCCTGGGCAGCTTGGATGTAGGGTTTGGATGCCACGCCCTAGTTGGCTGATGCACCCCGGATCTAGTCTGATGCATCCCGGATCTAGTCTGTCATCAGACATGCGCTGCACTCAGATCTAACCCGGATGTACACACGGTGCTCTACTCTGCACATGGCACTCTTCTTTGTACATGGGGCTCTACTCTGTACTTAGCACTAGACCCTATGTGGCACAGCAGTCCGCTTTCCCCCCTCTATCATTACTGTACATCGACTGTTTCTACCTCTAAGAGACTCCCCCTCCCTATACCCTTATCAAAATCAGTAAATCCCTCCCTCAGGCGCTCTTCTCTGGCCCTCTTTCTCTCTGCCGGACCAGCGAACCTCGCCTGGAAATGTTCCCAATAAAAACTCTACATTTCTATTTCTTGTGTGGTCGGCCCATTCCTTAAATTTATTTCTTTTACTTCCTTAGTTATCAAGGTACCTATTGTCTCTATTTTCCCAGACACTTCAAAATATTTATACATTCTCTTTCATTATGTCTACCATTTCATTTTTCCTATTAGAAACACCCTTTGGTGGCTTTCTATACTCCTGCTCTATTCTAAACTGCATTACTGCTATCTGAGGACTTCTACTTCCCTCCCAATCAATCATTGCTGAATTTGCTTGGTCTTCTGCCTGTTGGATCTTCTGATTTCTGTTTCTTCTTTTCTGTTTTTTCTTTTTTTTCCCTTAGGTTTTGCCATAGGGTATGTGTGTGCTCATCAGAGAAAAGGAAAGTGAGGAGTCACTTCCCCCAAGGGGAATGGTCACACCACAATCCCTTCTCCTCCATTCTCCTGTCAGGATTTTGGGCATGCACACACATTCCCCTGGAATGATTTTCAAGACACCAGGTCCTGGGGCTCTAACTGTGGTTGACCATGTGGGAGTCTAGCGCATTAACCACTACACAACCTACTTGGCCCCAGATCTGATTACTGGATCCCACATATTTTTCTTTCTTGGTTTACTTTCTCATGTTGGTGGAGTACATCCGCTAGTATCTTTCTAAATAGACATTTATGAGAGAGAGAGAGAGAGAGACTCATCTTCTCACTGTAAGGCTAAAGTTAATTTTTTAAACAGACACTAATACATTCTTAAATTTTGGAAATTAAGAAATACTATTCTAAATAATACTTGGATAGTAGATAAATCAATTTGGAATTAATAAACTATTTAGAGAATAATCAATACTTTGTATCAGGCCACCCCAGCAGGAAACTGATCCATTCAGATGGCTTAACCGAAGAGATTTGACTGAAGCAATGACAGTATTTACAAAGGTTTGTTGTAAAGATTAGCAACAGCGAGAAGCAAGAATCTATTCTCACCCTATGCTAAAACAGACAAGGCGGGAAATTGCGTTAGAGGAATTGAGTGCACCGAAGCTATGGATGAAACACTGCCTGAAAGAAATATAGCAACTGCTACTGCAAAAACTACTGGGATGGAAGAAGGAGGAAGTAGAGAAGAGCTTTTCTTTGTCCTCTGATTTCCCATTGATGCCTGACCTGGGCAAAATCAACTCGAAGGCATTCAGCAAGAGAACCTAGACAATACAGCCCATGGGGACAAGGTGCTGGGAGTATAGCATAGAGCAGAGAAAGGTGGGAAATGAATCTGCTGAATAGATGAAGACAACGTAAGTGTTTTAAGTGTCCCTTCTCAACCAAATTTCAACATATTTTTGGGGGGGAATATTCAAACTCATAGCATCTATTGATGCTGAAAAGATATTTGTTAAATCTAAGGAGAACTTCCTAATTAAAACTAAGTTAACTCAGACTAGGAGGAGAATAGTTAAAATAGATGGTTGCCATAAAGGCAGTATATAGTCCAAGCACATTGCATAGAAGAGGAAATGGAGTTTCAGGAGAGAGGAGAGATTCAGAAGTTAGGCAGAAAGTTGAAAGCAGGTCAGGGAAGAGAACTTAGGTGTTCTACATGGTCTAGATCTGTTTGTACTCTGCAGCCTACTTCACCATAGTTGGAGGGAGGGCCTAATTTTCTTTATGCTTTAGCCTTAGGTTGTAATATTTCCTTGATGTAAACTTGAGGCGTGTGTGTGTGTGTGTGTGTGTATGTGTATGTATGTTCATCATCAGAGAAGATGGAAACCCTGTGTCTTATTCTCTCTAGATGAATAATAATTGTTATCTCCTTCCATCTTTTCTCATTGCTATGTATTATTTCTCTGTGTGGCCATTGTACATGCTAAAGGCTTTATTGTGGGAAAAGAGGACTATTTACTGCAGAGTATTGACTCATGCATGAGGGACAAATATCCATTGTGAGTTCATTCTCTTTTTTAAAATTAACTAATTCTGAGCGAGAGAGAGAGAGAGAGAGCATCTTCAACACAGTCCTACACTGTGATCTGTTCCAGCCTCAACTAGCTCCAGATTATGGACACAATTTTGACTAGTACACTCAGGGAGGTCTTGAGACTTGAACTGGGGACCTTCCTGTGTGGAATTACCTTAGAGCATTGCATTTTACTGCCATACAGTCTGGTCCCCAAATTAATTGTCTTTAAAAATGTTCTCATTGAGAATCTCCTGGGTTCTGTGAGCTATGTTAGGTAATTCTAGCACACACTCATTAGTTTGCCTCATACTGACACTGGGAGGAAGTATTCCAATTTTATAAAAGAAGAAACTTAGGTGTAATGAAATGGTGGGCAAGTGATTTTCTACTTTTCTAGATTCTAAGCCTTGTCCATTTTACAACACACCACAGCTATCTCATGCCTTCCTGAGAATTCAGAACGTTGTAGGAAGTGTTGAAAGCAAAGTAAGTAAAACTCCAGATTTCTTGGTTGAAGACTTGCACTGTGGGTGGTGGTCCCAGGCCTTCTTTTAGAACTGGATTCTGGGTAAGAAAAAAATCATGGTTGCTCACTGAGTGAAGGTAAAGGTGTGGGCTTTAGAATCAGAGTTCCAGCTTTACCTTTTAGTTTTGATATTTACTAATGGGGATGTTTGGATATTCCTTTTGCTCTCTGAATTTCCTTATTTCTTCTAGAGTGGTGACAGTATAAATTTCACAGGTAGTTCTTGGAAAATTATGTAGGTAAAGTGACAAAATGCCTACATGCAGAGATCTTCAAGAAATGTGCATTCTCTTCCTTTAGAGTAGGATGATCTGTTCTCCTTAGAAACATTTATTGGAGGACTTTACTATGTCAGATCCATGTACCCGTCTGTGAAGAGAAATACAAAATGTCTTAAAAAATGTAGCGGAAAATGCAATATTATGAAAAAATTATGCGTGAATTTCAAAATTCTTTCACACCAAAATAAATGCATATTTTAATTTCGCTTTTCACAAGTGTTTTGAAGTCTCATTGTATTAGAAGTTAAAATGTGCTTTATGTTCATCTGAGTCCTTTTAATTATAGTAAAAAAGGATTTCAAAGCACTTTTACCTCTGTAGTCTCTTTAAATCTAAATTTTACTTCTTAAATAAATATCTTTATTTAATTTTATTTATTAATATTTGTTTTTATTTTTAAAATTTGACCAAAGAGACAGAGACAGAGACAGAGAGAGAAGGGAAAAGTGAGAAAGCAAGCCACCAGGTCCAAGACTCAAACCATGGTCTGCCATGTGGGAGTCCAGCACCTTAACCACCATACCACCTGCTGGTCCCTCTAAATTTTACTTCTATCATTTCAATTAAGTGGGAAATATTTTCCTGATTGGGTTTGTCAGGGCGGCTCAGAACAGGATCTCCTGTTCCCTACCTCACTCAGCCCTATGCTCTGTTCCCTAAATGGTACTGCCTCTCTGCTTCTCACTTTCAGGAATTAGGAAGAATTGACCAAAAAACTTAAATGTGGTATAGTTATGTTAATGTAGCTTCTTTCCCTTTTAGCTTCAAATCTCTCAGGGAATAACTTGGCAAGAAAGAAGGTGGCAATTTTTATAGAAATTAGTAACTCTAATCCTTTTATTCTAAAAAAGATTCGCTACTAATAATCTTTTTCATTTACTAATGGATATTTTTGAAGCTCAAGTCTGGAGCAATTTACAGTTTGATTTTAATGCCTGCTTTTCTAAGAGACTATGATTACCACTATCATTAATAAGTTTTAACTTCACAACTTTCAGTCAAATAATTTTCAAATTCTTCTAGTAATATGAGACATAGGTAATACCCTTATCAGTAAAAAGTGCTTAGTATTGCTAAACAAAGTTAAAAATTGTGAAATATGCCATGCGCTAAGCCTCATAAATATTTTTTTATAAGGCCATTTGTTAGGATTGGGGTAGAAGTTTTTTTCCTTTTTCTTTCTTTCTTTTTTTTTTTTTTTGCTGTGTGGAGGATATGGAAATTTATACTTACATCATAATACATTCTACTTCCTTAGCTAAAAAATCTTTCATTATCTCTTTTGTAAAATGAATCTTTGAGCTCTAGAGAACAAAATCCTTGGGAACTATGAATAAAGGATGTTTTTCTTTTCATAGTCCCCCCAAAAGAGGGGAAATGAATCAGAAAAGCTAGTATTAGCATTTGCAAATAGTAGGTCTTCTAAGGAAAAAAGTCTTCATTTTTTTTTTAGAAGAATACATTAGAAATTTGTGCACTATTAAGTTACAAATAAATTGCTGAGTAGTTATTTCAAAGCATGTATTCTGGAATGATTTTAGTTTATCTGAAGTACATGTCATCACAAACACACACATGTATTAGGCTACCTTCTTACAATTTTAAACTCTTCAATGAACATGTGTGTGAGATTTTCTGACTTCCCCAGTAAAATGACCCTTAAATTAATTGACCATCTTCTTAGTCCAAGGTGATTTCATGTATGTTTTTTCCTTATAGCCTGTCCTGTAAATTAATTTTCATCATCTCTGTTTTACAGATTAAGAACCCCAGGAGGGCTTTATAACACAGTCAAATTCACACTTCTAGCAATTGGAAGAACCTTGTGTCTAATCTCATGCATATTCCATGACTCTTTCTTTAACGAGCTTGAAAATTGAATCTGGAAGGCTTTCATGCCAGGCCAAAGCATCTGTTCCTGAAAACTCCATGTGTGGTAGGAATGTGGGGAGTCTAGGTCTGTGCATTGGATTTTAGGAAATCATAGGAATTGATTCTGTAGGTCAGTTATGATGACTCATTTTGGTGACAGAGAATTAATTTGCGTGCTTCTACAGGATATCCACCTTGGATTTGGAAACTTTCATTTCAGATTTTCATGCTCACAGATGTGTTCAATCAGTTGTTTCAGACAAATATTTGTTTAGAATATTTATGGAAAACATGGCAAAACTCATTTGTTTGATGGTGCTATGCCATCTAAGTGGTGAATGAAGCAGATGTTTATCGAGCAGCTATGGTGTGTAAAGTTGAGGTGGAAGTTGCATTGACACAAAAGCAGGATGTCATTGTTCTTACCAGATATTTGAGCTTAGATAAATCACCACCATCAAACAGATTCTCCACTGAATCCAGGAGAAAGGAACAAAAATTGTCCTAGGGATTAAAAGGGTGATGTATGTATTCATCTCCAGTCAGAAGTATGAGAAAAAAAATTTTAATAGGTTTTTGTTACAGGGTATGTATGCTCACTGGAGAGAGTCAGAGAGGGAGAGACAACAAGAAATCACCCCTCACAGGGATGGCCACCCCACAACCCCTTCTTCTCCATCCTTCTCTCAGGATTTTGGGCACACATGCACATGCGCCCGGTATGATTTTCAAGTTGCTGGGTCCAGAGCTCACACTGGTTGGCCATGCGGGAGTCCAGCACCTTAACCACCACACCATTTGCTGGCCTCAGGAAATACTTTCTTAATATACAAATGGCCAAAAAACATATGGGAAAAAAATCAACATCACTAATCATTAGGGGCATGCAAATCAAAACCTCAGCAAGATTATCATCTCACCCCACTTAGACTAACTAGTGTCAAAAAGCCAAAATTAGCAAATGCTGGAGAAGATGACAAGAAAGGAGAACTCTTTTACCCTTTTGTTGGAAATGTAAATTAGTACAACCATTATGGAAAACAATATAAGCTGCCTCAAAATACTAAAATTAGAGCTGCCTTATGATCCAGCAATCTCACTACTAGACATAAAACTAAAGAAAAGGAAATCAGCATATCTTAAACACAGCTGCACCCCAATGTTTATTGTAGCAGTATTCACAATAGCCAAGATATAGACTCTAAGTGTTCATCAGCAAATGAATGGATAAAGAAAATGTGCTGTGTGGATACACACACACACACACACACACACATGCATAATATAAAATATTAGGTTATTTTTCTGTTATTCTCTGCAAAAATGACTTTCCTATGCATCATGACTTTTCTGACAACTCAATATATGTCACATTATATATAATATGTAACAATACTTTATTACATATGGATAAAGAAATTGGATACCAGCAGTTAGCGTTAAGGCTATGTCGCTGGACTCCCACGTAGTCGACCATGGTTCGCGTCCCGGAACCGGTGGCTTAAAACTCATGCTGGGCGCGTGTGCGTGCGTGCCCAAGATCCCGAGAGGAGAATGGGGGAGAAGGGATTGTGGCATGGCCATCCCCCCTGGGGGGTGATTTCTCACTTTCTGTCTCTCTGTCTCTCTCTGTCTGTCTGGCGAGTGCACGTGCCCTATAGCGAAAACCTCTCCAAAAAAAAAAAAAAAAGAAAAAAAAAAAGAAATTATTGTATATAACACAAAATATATTCTACATAACATATACTATATGATAGAATAGTTATGAAAAAGAATGAGATATATATCATATTTATATATAACAAAATATTTATTAAAAATACTGATGTGTATATATAAAATAGAATATTATATTTATATATAATAGAATACTTATTAAAAATAATGAGCTCTTATCATCTGAAGTAAAATGGGTAAGCCTGGAGGACACTGTGCTAAGTGAAGTAAGCCAGGGATGGAAAATCAAATATTATGTATTTTCATTCACATGTGGGAATGACCTCATTAGAGAATTGAAGACTGGCTCCTATAGACTGGGAAGGATGGGGGGAGGGGAGATAGAGATGTTGCTTAGTGGCAACAAAACCACAGAGAGATGAGAGGGAACATCTTCTAGTGTTATGAAATATAGTAGGGTGAATATAATTGGTAGCCGTGTACTGTAGATCTCGAAGTCACTAAAAAGGAAGATTTCCATGTTTCTAATATAAAGTAATAATGAACGGCTGAAATGAGGAATGTATTAATAGCCCTGAGTTGATCTATGTGCATTATATTCTTATACTGAAAAACCACTATATAACCCACAGATATGTACAGTTATTGTATGTCAATAATAAGAATATTTGTAATTATAATTAAAAGATACCTTCTAGAGCAGAGCTATGTGATGGGCCTTCCTAGAGCAGGTCCGATTTGAACAGGTTGTAATGAACTCATAAAGGGAGCTCCAGAGAAAGGACGCTGCCCAGGCAGAGGTACACGCTGAGAACAGTGAGGGAAGGTTCAG